TGGAAAATGGCCCTGCCCCAACACCCAAGCGCGGACTGGGGTGGGGCAGGGAAAGTCAGCTGTCCCCACCCTCGGCTAAAGAGGCAAGCACAGGTCCACTCCTCACCTTGTCCAGTCAGTCCTGCCCCACGAAGGACACAACAAGGATGCAACAGACAACCCACATGTGGGACGTGCCACAGAACAATCAGTGTTGTCAGTGGCAGGGCAGTAATGGGGCGGAGGCCGTCTAGATGAACAGGCGGTGGAGACAAGACAGTAAGTCACTTATGTGGACCCTGCTTGGCTGCTGATCCAACAAACCAACTGTAAAAGGAATTTCTGAGACAATCTGAAAGGTGTGACTACTGGCTGACTACTAGATTATTCTAAACGTGTTCATCTTGTTAGAGCAGTGGTAATGCACATTGAGGTTATTTAAGAAAATATCCTTATTTTTTAGAAATACCTATTTAAGTAAGCAGTGGTAAAATCATATAATATCTAGAATTTACCTTAAGATATTTTAGCAAAGAAAAAAAAAAACAAACAAAAGGATAAATGAAGCAAATGAGATAGAATTTCAACAATTGTTGAATATGGGTGATGGGATCTGTGGCATCATTCTCTTTGTGTATAATTAAAATTTCTCATAGGCTGGGCGCTCATGGCTATAATCCCAGCACTTTGGGAGGCCAAAGCGGGCAGATCAGAAGTTTAAGATCAGCTTGGAAAACATGGTGAAACCCCATCTCTACCAATAACAAAAAATTAGCCAGGCGTGGTGGCGTGTTCCTATGGTCCCAGCTATTCAGGAGGCTGAGCGGGGAGAAGGGCTTAAACCTGGGAGACGGAGGCTGTAGTGAGCTGAGATTGCACCAGTGCCACTTCACTCCAGCCGGGGTGACTGACAGATGAGACCCTGTCTCAAAATTTTAAAAAATAAAATAAAGTAAAAAATAAAGAAAAAGAAATGAAAAGGATTTATTTTTTAATTTGTCATAGTTTAAAAAAATGTGACACAGAGTCAGTAAAAGCAATCACAGCTTTGCTGAGCTCCGGGAAGTTACAGACAATATCTGAGCCCCTAGCTTTGCAACAACAAATGCCTGACATTCACGTGCAACAATCACAAGCTGGTTTACAGATGTGGAAATGTCGCCTTAATTTTACTTCGTGGTGTTACAATCCACTCTGTCAACAAAAACCTTTCAAAGAGAAGGAAAACTTGGGAGGCAGGGTGGGAGGTAAAGAAAAAAGAAAGCAAGAAATGAGACAGTGCTGCTACAGTTCCTCTCACAAATGAAATGGAGCCTCAGCTGTTTCCTCAGGTGACTAAAGAGCTTCCAGATGTCTTAATGTGGGAGCTCAACACATTCTCTCTCACACAAAGGAATCTGAGCTGGCTCCAAGCACAGCTTTTAAAACACATGTTCTTAACTTGTGGTTGACAGATCCCTGATGCAAAATTTTAAATGTGCATGACAGTTTTCTCGAGAGTATTCAGCTTTCTTTGGATTCTCAAAGTGATCCATATCCCAAAACGTTAAGAACCACTGATCTTAATTAAGAGGGTATGAAAGGAAACTGACTAGACTGAAGCTCTGGTCATGGACTGTGCAAAGAAAGCTTTTCATTTGAGAACATTTGATACCTTTGGAAATGTTCTCACTGGATCACAAAAAACCCGATTGACAGTCTATCTCCAACAGCCACAAACACAACAAACAATCCAGTCCTGCAGACCATACAGGGTACGTCTACAGAGGGTTCTACTTGCATCACCCACACCTCCACTCCTATGAAACGACTGTCTTGGGCATGAGAAGGGCCAGGATAGGCCATGGGCCAAAGTCCCTGCAGGAAGATGCTAACAGGTAGAACAGGTAGAACATGTAGACACAAACAAGTAGTTTATTTTTTCTGACTGTGACCAAAGTCAGCAAAAGAAACAACAGAACTTCAGTGCCCTAGAGATCTTCCTGGATTCAATGACAATGCATTGATGGCCGGCACAGGACTGGATTCCTTTTACGAACTCATCTCATAATCTCTCATCATCCCATGTCAGGACAGTGCCTTTTGGGACTGCATGAATCTTTAATAGCTACCCACATTTTCTCATTCTTTAAGTTACGACAGACAGGTTATCTCTCTCCAAGAACATCAGGTTAGATGCTGTTTCACTATTACAAACTGTCAGGTGGATGGAGGACCACAACATTGTTCATTTAACTGTGAAGTCCGAGATGCTGTCTGAAGGGGTCTCCAGGAAGGACTGGAGGGTGATTTTGCTGAAGGGCTGCTTACTGCTTATTTCACTGCATGCCACTTTTCTCACTCTGGTTGGGAGGTTTGAAGGACCACGTAAGCACAGAGAAGACGAGAGCTCCCTGTGAAATCAATCACTGCCTTTCCGTCTTCACAAAGACCTGTTCTCCAATAATGCATGCATTTCTCTGTGGGAAGCTGTATTCACATCAGCGCCGGAGCCTCAGAAAAAATGCATGTTTACACTCCGTACTCTCCAATGGGTAATATTTATCATAGAAATCTAATACATATTCTTCAGTCTTGAATCCAAACTTCTGATACAGTAACATAGCGGGGTTGCTTGCTGAGACGTGAAGCGTTACGTCCTTGCCCATGCAGGTCTGCCAAGAGTGGAAAAATACAAGATAAAAATGGAAAAGCCTGAGGGAAAATGAGTAGGTGAAGAAGCACTTTTAAGTGTAGGCAGTTAGTTATGGAAACCAGAGAAGTCAGAGACTGAGGCTGAGACATTGTAACACCAACAACAGCTGGAAACAGAATGACATTTTGCTGCTGGTCAAAACATTCACAAGACTAAGGAAACTGATAGCATTCTGGGCATTTAAAAATTTTTCTTTGAAGCAAAGGGTCAGTGCGGATATAATTATTGTGAACTTTATTATTTATAACTAAATTACCTTTAAATATGTCAAACATTTCAATACCCAACACTATGATAACCTTGAATAAATACAGAACAAAATAAGTTTTGCTTTTTAAAACTAGATGTTATCTTGTACCTCCTCAAAACCTGTAAAAATTCCTTTACTAGACCTGCTAAATTACATGCACAAACATGAACTATCAAGACTGCAATTATAAAACCTAAGGCCCTCAGAAGTATAGACCTTCTGAATCCTAAAGTCCACCTTCCATCTCCAAAACTGACAGAATTAGCTTTTTAGAACTGAGATTTCTACATTCGGCTTTGACCTAATCTTAGGGGAAAAGAGTAACAATCATTCAATCAACACAAGGCAAGTCCTTTGATTCTTTAAGCAGCTACAGAGAGTAAGGTGTCCCAAAGGTCATAGAATTTGAGAATTTACTGAAGTTGATACAGTCCTTGAGATTTATGACCCGTGGTTCTCCCAGGCCTCTAAGAACTCCTCTGTTGAGGGTCATCTGACGGCTACCTGCTTTCTCTGCTTCACTGCCATGTATATTCATAGGCATTTTTAGAACAAGAGAGCACTTACTAGTATGCCAGGGACAAGAACACGTTGTGAATTTTTAAAGCAAATTTTGTGAGGTCATGTTAGTGATTGCAAGTACATGTGATCTCACCGTGGCCATCACTAAATGCTATCGAGTGTATTCCGCCTATGTTTGGGCCCTCAGGTGTATGGTCTGGCTGGGGAGAAGGTGCCCATCTACAAAGATGAACCACTCCTCCACTGGCCCTGCCAACACTCGGCAGGGACTGACTCTGTGCCAGCTCTCACCCGCACCCCCGGCAACACACATACTATTCCTGTCTTGTCTTCAGACCCTTACCAGTGATAGATAAGGCAGCAAATCCTCTAAGTGCTCTCCTAGGTTAAAAAGATGCATACTGAGAGATCAATTCTTGGGTGGGATAGGGCAGAGAAAGGGAGTGTCGTAGAAATAACTGAGAAACTCTCAAGAGAGAAACACCACCACAAAGTAGCACATATTAATTACTCAGTGATTTACATAGTCATTGCCTAAGGAGAGAAGAAAGCAATTTCTAGGAAAATGGTTCTCAAGGTTCCTGCCAACGTTTGGGAATTATTAAGCAAGTTTCATTAAAAACTGGAGAAACAACTTTTATCATCTTCATCTTCACTTTAAAAGGAATCTTGCCTGCATAACATGTAATCCTCCATACCAAATGGTTTCTAAGTAAAAGTTGACTTACAAATATATCAAAGGATAAATTACAATTCAATATTAGAATCAAATCTTAGAAGGTTCATATCAACCTTATACAGTGATAGTAAAATTAAAAACTATCAGTAATAATAAAATATGTAGCTGGGCATGGTGGCCCCTGCCCATAATCCCAGCACTTTGGGAGGCTGAGATGGGAGGCCTGCTTGAACCCAGGAGTTCAAGTACAGTCCAGGCAACACAGCAAGACCCTGTCCCTACAGAAAATCAGCTGGGCATGGTGCATGCCTGTGGTCCTAGCTACTAAGGAGGCTGAGGCAGGAGAATCACTTGAGCCCAGGGGGCTGAGGCTGCAGTGAGCCGTGATTGTGCCACTCCAGCCTGGGCGAGAGTGAGATCCCGCCTCAAAAAATAAAAATAAAATAAATACATATTCTTATTGATACAGCTGTGCTAAAATGTTTACAAATACTTAAAAAAATACACAATGATAGTCCTACTCTCACTTCTCTGAGTTGCGAAGGTGATGATCCTGAGCAGCAGCTATTACTGACATCGACGGTGTACCCTAAAGATCTTGCTTTTGGCATTTTCTCGTTTTATTTACTACACATGTTCACAAACTGGTTTCCATGAAACCTGGGTCTGAATAATAATCTTGTTTTAGAGGACTGGAGAGTTTTGTCTGCCTGCTTTAATAATATCATGAATGTTGATGACTGGCTTTCTTCATCTGGTTTCCAAGGAAACCATTCCACTGGGCCACACTGGAAGGGCTAGCTCAGCTTCATTCCTCCTCCCCTGTCCAGGGGAGTCCAGATGCAGGTGATAAATCACAAATATAGACAACTTACCTGAATCAGATGATAGATCATGAAAGTTGCAATCCCTGCTCTTCTCCATTCAGGGTGGACAAACAGAAACGAAATGTAAGCTTCATTGTATTTCACATCGGGAACCATGAAGCCAAAGGCAATGATGACTTTTTTATAGAGAACAACCACACTGAAGTCTGGGTACTGCAGACACTCAGACAGGTCAATGCCTAAAGGAAAGAAACGATCAGACTCAAACCGCATGCCTTTGAGAATTAAGGAACACCAAGCTGTTCAGCATGTATGTATAGCTACACCTGCATGCTAAAAAAAACCACCAAAATTGGAGGTAAAGATATTACCATAGATACCACACATCCAGATCATAAAAATGAGTGAATTTTAGAAAATATCGAAATTAACATAGTATTTTTTTAAGTACATATGTTAAAAGAAGAGTGGCAAAATAGGGTAGGTAGCAATGCACGGGTTCAGAATTGGACACAGCTGGCTTTGAACTAAGCCTTCTCTACCACGTGTGGCTTGGCACATTTCAAAATATCTCGAGGACTCTGTTTCTGCAATGTGTAAGACGAAGAGCATAACTAGACCTGACAGGGTTGAGTGAAGATCCCCTGAGCGTGTTCTATCATATCCTTTACCCCACACGTGTAATTTATAAGCTCTTTTGTACAAATGCTACCTTTCACAATACGTAAGTAAAAAATGGTTCTGTGCATAATGTATGGAAGGCACCTAACATAAGGGCAGGAAGCAGGAGATGCTCCCAGAATGTTGCTTTTGGTTAAATATGACTCCCAAAAGAATGAGTGCAGCTCTGCCACCACATGCACAGTTATGTGATTATCTGGCAGTAAAGACGACATAGCTCTAATCTTGATGAAATTGTATCTAACATCTGGAAAATACGTATTATTTCCTTTAGGTTTCAAGGAAGCGTGGGAAAGCAGATCCACAAAGAACACATTTATATTTAGCAATGAAAATGTGTTCTTTTAATTGATGACTTTGGTCTTCAGAAGCAATTTTGTTAAGGCTGATAAAATGACAAATCATATTGGGTTTACTCTTATTCTCACAGTCCATGATCAAGGTATTTGGCTTTTAAAACATACCTTCTGGCTGTACTAACACTCTCTAAGGAACAGCTAAATAAACAAAACATAAAGAATTATTAAGCCAAAAATAAAAGTGTCCAAACATGCCCAAGCTACCAATCTGTGTATCTTTGATAGACATTACCTGGTATCTAAATATATGGAGAAGCAAAACAGGATGAATCTTTTTACTCGGGAAGTAGAGACAAACAGGGAGGAGAAACAAACAAAAACCCTGTGTATTGCTGGCTTCTTCTAGATTTTAGGAAAGCAAGAGGTATTTGCATTTTAATATTTTTATGTTAGCAGAGACTAAATGAAATCATGAGTAAAAATCTTAAGGATACCACATACACTAATTAAAAAAACTGCTAGAATGGACTGTACAGAAAAAATGACCTTCCTGGCTTGGGAGGGGGAACGTACCAGGCCAAAAAAACTCCTGACACATGGAGTTGATTGTTGGGATATGATTTGGCCGCACATAACAGTAATCGAGAGGTGCATCTGGCTCCGGCGTCCAGCAAGGGTCGCTCCTGTGCAGGTGGGAACGTATCTGTGACAGGAGCTGCAGTTTGGGTGGCTTTGTTTCATAATCACGCCTCCGGTACCACAGAAGATAAAGAAATACAAGTCAAGAAAAATACCTGGTATTATTCCTAGCTTTTTGACTCATATAAACTCTTTGATCTGCTTGAAACTTTAAAGTAACCTGCACTGTTTTACACAGAAGCTGGATTGATTATAGCTATACTTTCATGGTATGACATCTAAAATTCACTGTGAACATTCATCAGGCCAAAGCCCTCTGTACCTACCAGGGACTGTGCCAGGTGCCTTAATGAACAAAGTGAGGAAACAGAAACTGCATCCGATTCACCCTGAGGAGTCAGACACAAGGCTGCATCTCCAGTGCCTTGGAGGCCAAAAGGGGGAATACCCAACTTTGTGGGGTAGTTGGGGAACACCAGAGACAAAGTGAGCTTGGAGCAGCTCACAAATTGCCTTTCACTGTGCCTGCCCAGGAATGTGGTGCCGGCATGGAGAGTCAGGGTGATCATGAAGCTGCAGGACAACTGTAGTGTAACGAAAGCAATAATGTGCTCTCAGTGACAGTGCCAGACACTGCTGGGACTCTCTAGCAAGCTCAGCTTCCACTTCATTGCCTGGACAATGAGAGCATTATTGGAAACTGTCCCATATACATCCAGTCCAGATGGAGGCTCAACTGAGACACCTTTCATAGTTTTTCATTTCAGACTACTAAAAATATATACAGCTTTAGTATTTAAAATAACATAAGGACCGGACCCGGTGGCTCATGCCTGTAATCCCAACACTTTGGGAGGCCAAGGCAGGTGGATCACTTGAGGTCAGGAGTTCGAGACCAGCCTGGCCAACATGGTAAAATCTGTATCTACTAAAAACACAGAAATTAGCTGGGCTTGGTGGTGCATGCCTGTAATCCCAGCTACTCCAGAGACTGAGGTGGGAGAATTGCCTAAACCCTGGGGGCAGAGGTTACAATAAGCCAAGATTGCACCACAGTACTCCAGCCTAGGTGACAGGGCAAGAGTCTGTCTCAAAAAATAATAATAAATAAAATAAAATAATGATTATGATAATCACAAAGCAATCTTTCAGTTAATTTATTCTTGCTTTTTAAGTTTCTTTCAAAGGACCATGTTCTCTGCCAAAAAGTAGAGTTGAAACAAAGGAAGAAAATGGAGGTGAAGCACAGAACTCAGTCCTTGCCAATGCTGCTCACAGTCTGTGATCTTTATTCTCTCCAACAGGAGAATAGGGCACAGAAACCACCATGATCATCCCTCATGACACACCTGACATCACACCTCTAGTTCTCCATATACCTGATATAAGGTTTCAAGATCCGAGAGGTGTAAGGGCTGACAATACTCTGGTCCACAGCCATATCTTCTGATCCCACCAAGCGATACAAAAACTTGGTGGTCTGGTGTCGAAATCCCTTTCTGGATGGCAAGGACGTCTATGAGAAAGAAACACTGGTTATACAGAAATAAAATTACTCAGACGATTGGTTAATTTCCATATATAATCAGTATATTTTTATGTTTCAAAAAGTAGTTCTTTTTGTATTACTAATTTGGAAAGCTCAAACTTCAATACAAAGTTTGTAGACACCTTTGCATAAAACTAGACATAAAAAACTAACCCCAGCTGTTTAAAATCAAAGTAATAATTTTAAAATTTTGAAGTCATTAAAAAAATTTAACTCATTTGAGCGAGTGAGATGTAGGGCTGAACACTGGATTTGCAGCTTCTCTAGGCTTCACTTTGTCTACATTATGTCTTCAACCCATTCACTAAATATTAACCAGCACTAATATCAAGTAGGTAACACATACATGGGTCATATTATACGACCGCTCTGTTATCCAAAGAGCCACCAGGGCCAACTACTACTGTATATATAGTTTCTGAAATACATCTCTGATATGATTTGGCTCTGTGTTCCCACCCAAGTCTCATCTTGAACTGTACTCCCATAATTCTCATGTGTTATGGGAGGGACTAAAGCTGTATATATTTTTAGTAGTCTGAAATGAAAAACTCTATTTTTGAGACAGTGGGAGATAATTTGAATCATGAGGGTGGTTATCCCCATACTGTTCTCATGGTAGTGAATCAGTCTCATTAGATCTGATGGTTTTATCAGGGGTTTCTCCTTTTACATCTTCCTCATTTTTTTCTTGCCACCGCCATGTAAGAAGTGTCTTTTGCCTCTTGCCATGATTCTGAGGCCTCCCCAGCCACGTGGAACTGTAAGTCCAATTAAACTTCTTTTTCTTCCCAGTCTTGGGTATGTCTTTATCAGCAGTGTGAAAACAGACGAATACAGTAAATTGGTACCAGGAGTAGGGTGTTGCTGAAAAGATATCCAAAAATGTGGAAATGACTTTGGGATAGGTATCAGGCAGAGGCTGGAACAGTCTGGAGGGCTCAGAAGAAGAAAGAAAAATGTAGAAATGTTTGGAACCTCCTAGAGACTTGTTGAATGGCTTTGACAAAAATGCTGATAGTGATACGAACAATAAGATCCAGGCTGAGGTGGTCTCAGATGAAGATGAGGAACTTGTTAAGAACTGAAGCAAAGGTGACTCTTATTAGGTTTTAGCAAAGAGTCTGGCAGCATTTTGCCCCTGCCCTAGATATCTGTAGAACACTGAATTTGAGAGAGATAATTTAGGGTATCTGATAGAAGAAATTTCTAAGCAGCAAAGCATTCAAAAGGTGACTTGAAGGCCAGGCATGGTGGCTCATGCCTATAATCCCAGCACTATGGGAGGCCGAGGTGGGCAGATCACCTGAGGTCAGGAGTTCAAGACCAGCCTGGCCAACATGGTGAAACACTGTCTCTGCTAAAAATACAAAACTTGGCTGGGTGTGGTGATGTACACCTGTAATCCCAGCTACTTGGGAGGCTAGGCAGAAGAATCGCTTGAACCTAGGAGGCAGAGGCTGCAGTGAGCTGAGATCTCACCACTGTACTCTAGCCTGGATATCAGAGTGAGATTCTATCGAGGTGACTTGAGTGCTGTTAAAAGCATTCTGTTTTAAAAGTTCAGAAAACTTGCAGCCTGACAATGCAGTGGAAAAGAAACAATTTTTTGAGGAGAAATTGAAGTTGGCTGCAGAAATTTGCATAAGCAACAAGGAGCTGAATGTTAATCCCCAAAACAATGGGGAAAATGTCTCCAGGGCATGTCATAGGTCTTCATGGCATCCCCTCCCACCACAGAGCTGGAAGCCTAGAAGCTAAAAATGGTTTCATGGGCCAGGCCCAGGGTCTCCATGCTGTGTGCAGCCTGGGGACTTGGTGCCCTGTGCCCCATCTGCTCCAGTTGTTGCTAAAAGGGGCCAAAGTACAGCTCAGCCCACGGTTTCAGAGGATGCAAGCCCCAAACCTTGGCAGCTTCCACGTGGTGTTGAGCCTGAGGGTACACAGAAGTCAAGAACTGAGGATTGGGAACCTCCACCTAGATTTCAGAAGATGTATAGAAATACCTGGATGCCCAGGCAAAAGTTTGCTGCAGAGGTGGGACCCTCATGGAGAACTTCTGCTAGGGCAGTGCAGAGGGGAATGTGGGGTCAGAGCCCCCATAGAGAATCCCTACTGGGGCACTGCCTGGTGGAGCTACGAGAAGAGGGCCACAATCTTCCAGACCCCAGAATGGCAGATCCACTAACAGCTTGCATTGTGCAACTAGAAAAGCTGCAGATTCTCAATGGCAGCCTGTGAAAGCAGCCAGGAGGGAGGCTATATCCTGCAAAGCCACAGGGGCAGAGCTGCCCAAGACTCTGGGAACCTACCTCTTGCATCGATGTGACCTGGATGTGAGACAAGGAGTCAAAGGAGATCATTTTGGAGAGCTTTAGAATTTTGACTGCCCTGCTGGAATTCAGGCTTGCATGGGCCCTTTGTTTTGGCCAATTTCTCCCATTTGGAATGACTATATTTACTGAATACCTGTACCTCACTGAATCTAGAAAGTAACTAGCTTGCTTTTGATTTTACAGGCTCACAGGTGGAAGGGACTTGCCTTGTCTCAGATAAGACCTGAGACTGTGGACGTTTGGGTTAATGCTGAAATGAGTTAAGACTTTGGGGGACTGTTGGGAAGGCATGATTCGTTTTTAAATGTGAGGACATGAGATTTGGAGGGTCCGAGGCAGAATGATATTGTTTAGCTCTGTCTCCCCCCGACCGCCAAATCTCATCTTGAATTGTATTCCCATAATTCCCACATATTATAGGAGGGACCTGGTGGGAGATAATTTGAATCATAAGGACAGTTTCCACCATACTGTTCTCATGGTAATGAGTAAGTCTCATGGGATCAGACGGTTTTATCAGGAGTTTCCTCATTTGCATCTTTTGCATCTTCCTCATTTTTCTCTTGCCACCACCATGTGAGAACTGCCTTTCACCTCCTGCCATTATTCTGAGCCCTCCTCAGTCACATGGAACTGTTAAGTCCAATTGAACCTCTTTTTCTTTCCAGTCTCAGGTATGTCTTTATCAGCAGTATGAAAATGGACTAATGCAATCTCTTTTTCAGTGAATAAATTTTAAAAAATGGGACTTACATAGATTATTATCCCTAAAATAAATCTCAGTAGCAGAGAGGTCCTATCAGGGGTTCAGTGAGGATGAGGCCTAGGATACCTACGAAGGTATCCTAACAACCTGGTGGATTTTATGTATTTCCCTTCAAACCCCAAGAGCTGGACTGGAAATATGTTGTTCTTCAGTGACTGCTGCTCCAGGGTTCTCAGTCATGTAGTAACAGAACATATGCAATTAGGGCTTTATAGCAAAGAAATCAGATGGAAGATTAAAAGGCACATTTATACAGCTGTTTGCCAAGGGTTGGATGAAGTTTAAAAACCTGAGTTGTTTTTGTAGAATCAGTTTGCTCTTAACCTAGAAAATAGCTTTGTTAAAAAAAAAAGATCAAGATTCCTTCCTTTATACTTTGCTCTCATACCTTCCCTTCCCAAACTGGACACCAAAATTTTAAAAGGCCAACTGAATTCTACCAAGGTTTAAAGTCAATTTCAAAGTAAAACTGAAAAGTGTGATATGTAATTCCTAAATATAGTCACTATCAACTCCTCCATCCCTATAGGTATAAGTGGCTCCTCATACCAAAAGGCAGGGTCAATTTCCCCACCCCTGAAGCCGGATGGACCTTGTGAATGGCTCTGACCAATCAGAAAGTAGTAGAAGTAACTTTCTGGGGCTTTCAAGTCTAAGTCTTAAGACAATTGGTGGCTTGCTTTCACTTTTCCCTCCTGGGAGTCCAACTCGACCAGTTAAAATGACTAGAGGCAGGCTGGGCGCGGTGGCTCACGCTTAAAATCCCACACTTTAAGGGGCCAAGGGGGAGTGGATCACGAGGTCAGGAGTTCAAGACCAGCCTGGCCAATACGGTGAAAGCCTGTCTCTACTAAAAATACAAAAGTTAGCTGGGCGTGGCACATGCCTGTAATCCCAGCTACTCAGGAGGCTGAGGCAGAAGAGTAGCTTGAATCCAGGAGGCGGAGGTTGTAGTGAGCTGAGATTGTGCCACTGTACTTCAGCTGGGTGAAAGAGTGAGACTCTGTCTCAAAAAAAAAAAAAAATGACTAGAGGCCACAGGGAGATGGGTTCTGGAAGAAGAGAAGCTCTCCTGCTCATTCCAATCCCAAACTAGATTCCAGGTTAATGCAGCACATGAGTGACCCCAGCCTTCAGCCCACTAAACAAAGAACCACCCAGTAGTGCCCAGTCAATCCACAGAATCAAAAAAGATAGAGGTATCATAGGCCACCAAAAGTTTTGGAGTGGTTTATAATGCAGTAACAGATAACTGAAACACCAGCCACTGAACTACTTACTATACAGAATACTCTTATCTGGTTAATGTCTCAAGGACATTAATGTCTGGGGAGCTCCATCAAAGTTACACAGCTCCCTAACTTCTTCCCACTCTAATGTGAACCACTCCCAGTGCTGTCTGGATCCACTGCCTCCCACTGGCCTCTCTCCTCCCACTCTTATACCTGTACTATCCAGTCTTGACATAGAAGCCAGAATCTTCTAAAAATATAAATTCACTTTCCTTGATCTAAACTCTGACATGGCTTCCTACTGTATGTTCAGAATGCAGTTCAAACTCCTTACTTGTGACCTGCAGGATCTTGCAGGATTTGGCCCGTTACTCCAGTGGCCTCATTAGCCACCACCCCATTCCCTCTGCCATCACTAGCTTCCAGCCACATCCACCAACCCAACTCCCGCTTCCGGGCCTGCCCCTGGGCCTTCCACCCTGACCCTGTATCACCTGGCTCCTCCTTGTGAAGCAGGGCTTAAAGTGCTGCCTCCTCAGAGAGGCCATCCTGAACCCCTGCAGAGCTGTACTCCTGCCCCCTACTCCTCTACTGCCCCCGTGTTCACCGTGCATGCTGTGATCACATTTGCCT